CATTGCTGCACTGCGACACATCGGCGTCCGCACCATTATTGCTTTTTCTGCTGTCGGCTCGCTGCAGGAACACGTGCGACCGCGTGACTTTCTGGTGCCAGACCAGATCATTGACCGCACAAAAGGCATCCGTCCATTCACCTTCTTCGAGGGTGGCATGGTAGGCCACGTAGGCTTTGGCGATCCTTTCGACAAACGCCTAGCCGCCATTGTCAGACAGTGCGGACATGCGCTCGAGGGTGAGGGCGTGACGCTGCACGACAACGGCACCCTCATCTGCATGGAGGGACCACAGTTCAGCACTCGGGCAGAGTCCAACCTCTACAGGTCTTGGGGTGGCAGCGTCATCAACATGTCTGCTCTTCCTGAAGCTAAGCTTGCGCGCGAGGCCGAGATTGGCTACCAAATGATCTGCATGGCCACTGACTATGATTGCTGGCGGGGAGATGGCGAGGAGGATGTCAATGTCGAGATGGTCATGGCCCACATGAAGGCGAATGCAGAGAATGCAAGACGCTTTGTGGGCGCCGTGCTAAACGAGCTAAGCAAGGAAGAGCACGTCGACCAAGTTCTCGCAAAGCACCTGGATGGACAGATGAGGTTTGCGGGCGCCATGACCAAGAAGGAAGGACGAGGACAGGAAGCGGAGAAGAAGCTGCAATGGTTGTTCCCAGGCTACTTCGACTAGACTAAAGCACTCATCAGCATGCAACCGACTCACGTACATACATAGATATCTGGCCGGCTCTGAAGTCTAGAGTGATGCAGTCCACACGCGTAGCACCGGCAACGTCCTCAACCGAGCGGCGAATCTGAAGACATGGGTGTGAGCGACATGCAAACGCCCCCATGCGGAAGGTCGGCAGCATCTACAACGCACCCAAGATCCCGTGCTTGCATCATACATACAGACCAAAACCGCTCACTAGGTAGAGTGTATCGATAACTACCCGCGACCGGTAGCCTCTTCCTCTTTCCGCGGCATTCAAGCTTTTGATTCCTCAGTTTGCCCTCCTTAGCACCTTCCTAGTTAGACAACGATCGCCGCCAACACCTTCCGCAATCGCACATGCATTTGTATAACGTCCACGGCGCATATCCAACTACGCTGCTTGTTAGCCTCGCGTAGCAACATCACAAACAGAGTATGAGGAGAAAATTCTCTGCTCAGGTGATACGAGTGTACGACGCGGGCTCAAAGGAGCAGAGTGTGACCGACTGTCAACCCATTTGGAAATACGCGCATGTAGACCGTTACTGTTAACCCCACGATGCCTTGTGGCGAATCCAAGTTGTGATGTTCCCATGTGCTTATCATGGAAACTACGTAGCTACTTACATCTAGTATTGAACCTCCCCTGCCGGAAACGCGCTTGCAGGCTGATCCTTGTCCGACATGGGAACCGCGCAAGAGCCGACCTCGGGTCATCATAATACACATGGTTATAATAACAGACATGAGACTGCCCCTTATCATGGAGGTTCACCCTCTCGTCAATCTCCTCTAGTACAACTCTCCTCCAAGACTCTAGTCGTTGCAACTAGCATCATGGTCTCAGCTTGGTTCTTGGCCAAGGTCTTTCTGACCTTTGCGCCACTCCCGAGTGTGTATGCGCTGTATAACGGTACATCCGGCTTCCCCTCCCTTCTGGACGCTACGGCAGATGAGTTGATTACTGGTCTTGATGCTGGAGCGTTTACAAGTTTGGATCTTGTACAGGTGAGTTCTCGTAAATTGACTTGCTTTGTCTCATTGCCGGACTTGGTGCTGACATGAAGCAAGGCTTATGTGGGACGAATCATTGAAGTCAACAAGACACTTCATATGGTGGTTGAAATCAACCCAGATGCATGGTCTATCGCGAAACAGTTGGATGAAGAGCGCGCTTCAGGCAAATCCAGAGGGTTTGTCACCTCCAATCCGACCTACAGGACTCTTGGTTGCTAATCACAGACAGACCCCTCCATGGCCTCCCAGTGCTCATCAAGAACAACATTGCCACTGCCGATGAGATGAACAATACGGCTGGCTCTTGGTCTCTTATCGGAGCTAAAGTCCCACGTGATGCTACCGTTGCTGCAAAGCTCCGCAAAGCAGGTGCTATCATCCTCGGCAAAACCAATCTTTCTCAATGGGCCAACTACCGATCATCTAATTCTTCGAATGGTTGGTCTGCTCAAGGCGGTCAGACATACGGTGCATATTTCCCGGGACAAGACCCTAGCGGTAGCAGCAGCGGGAGCGGTGTCGCCGCCAGCATAGGGCTGGCATTTGGAACATTGGGCACTGAAACAGATGGATCAATTCTTTCGCCGAGTCAAGTGAACAACATTGTTGGCATAAAGCCCAGTGTTGGCCTGACCAGCAGATCACTTGTGATTCCAATTTCAGAGCATCAGGACACGGTTGGGCCTATGGCTCGCACGGTCAAGGATGCAGCCTATATTCTACAGGCGATCGTTGGTCCCGATCAGTACGACAATTACACTTCTGCAATTCCTTGGGCGAAGAATATAACCAACGCCACGGTTCCCGATTATGTCTCTGCCTGCAGGCTGAATGCCTTGGAAGGAAAGCGTATCGGTGTTCCACGAAATGCCATCGGCACACCTGGTACCTCTACTGCACCAGTATATGCCGCTTTTGAAGCCGCTCTTGATGTTCTGCGTTCTGCTGGCGCCATTATCGTAGAGGGAACAAACTACACCGCATGGGACCAGTACCTCCAATCCAACGCCGAAGGTATCGTACTCGACGGCGATTTCTCGCCCAATCTTGCCAGCTACCTTTCTCAACTCACATACAACCCCAACAACGTCACGACCCTAGAAGATGTGAGGAAATTCACTCAAAGTTTCCCTGCAGAAGCCTACCCAAATAGGGATACCGCCCAATTTGACAGCTCGATTGCGCAGTCCCAAAACTTTAGCAACACAGATGCACAGTTCTGGGCGGCGTACCAAGAAGACCTCTACCTCGGCGGCGAAGGCGGTCTCCTCGGTGCACTAGCGACCTATAACCTTGATGCTGTCGTGCTTCCCTCGCGTGTCGCATCTGGTATCTCTGCCATTATTGGTGGTCCTGTTGTTACCGTCCCACTGGGTGCATACCCTGCCAACACCACGGTGATTACAAACTCACGCGGCGACTTGAATGCCACGGCTCCGAATGCCCCATTCGGAATCTCCTTCGCTGGGAAGCTGTGGAGTGAGGAGAGTTTGATTGGTTTTGCCTATGCGTTTGAGCAAAGGACTATGGTTCGGAAGTCGATTAAGCCATATATTCAGCCCAGTATCGAGATTGAGAATGTGGTGGGCAGTTATTAGGGAATGGGACGAGTTGGAAGGAATACTAAGTTTGTATCAACTTTTATTGTAGAGTGGAGGAGCTTGAGTGCTGGTAAGATACGTGATAGAGTTGGGGTTGTCCAACAAGGTTCTGACACTAATACTCGAGCACTTTTCTTCGTTTACATTGAACTTCTCTCTTATCTCAGAAACATATTTGTCAATTTCCTTCCATAGCTTCAACACATTACCGGCATCGTTGAATTGTGCCGAAGCCCCACTCGATACAGAATACCCCGTTTCACCATTATGAACATAAGGGGAAGAGAAGCGAAGAGCTGGGAGAATCTCCCAAGAACAGCATACGCGCAAACGAGTTGGAGATAGCGCAGTCCTTCAAAAGCATAGATTCATGATGCTTTCCAGCCGAGCGACAAATGGTTGTCAAGATGGTGATGTGATGGTGTTGATGGCGCGCGAAACTCATGACGCAATTGGCGACTCTCGAAGCTCCCCAGTGGCGCCGAAGCTCTCCGCCACCCCTCAGTAATCAACTCGCGGTTGGACAAAACACAGCCCCAAATCACCAACACGACAACTCACATATCCTCCTTCCACATGCGCTTCCCTTCCTTTCCAACATTTCTCCGCACGATTCATACGGTAACAAATACAACAACCGCATTCCTTCGATCTAGCCCCGCAACTGGCATCGGTCGCACCATCTACAACACTCCCCAACGCGCAGTCCTCTACCGTTCGATGCCAAATATCCCCTTCTTGGGCGCTCTTTTCGGATCCTCTAGCAGCATGTCCGACAACACGAACTATCCAGTGCAGAAACCCGAGGGCGAATGGCAGGCACAGTTATCGCCTGGTATGGCCTCCGACTCTTTCCACTACAGCGACAATGATGCTGACATTTCCCAGAGCAATTCCGTATCCTCCGCAAGAAAGGCACCGAGCCACCCGGCTCGGGAAAATACGACAAGCACTACCCGGACGCTGGTGTCTATACCTGCGGCGGATGCGATGCGCCTCTCTACAAAGCAAACCACAAATTCGACTCTGGTTGCGGATGGCCCGCTTTCTGGGACGCCATACCCGGCGCGGTGGGACAGAAGCCGGATCCTGGTCTAGGCATGATGCGGACTGAGATTGTCTGTAACAACTGTGGAGGTCACCTGGGACATATTTTCAAGGGAGAGCGATTTGGCAATCCTAAGGATGAAAGACATTGTGTTAACAGTATAAGTATCAATTTTAGCGCTGAGGATAAGAGCTGAAGCCAGGAGACTAGTCAACGGGGGAAAGAGAGGTTGTAGTGATGTGCGTACCAATGATGTTGAAATGAGAGAATTATTCTAGCGACTTACTTCTGCCTCACCTGGTCTGCGTATCTGTTTCGGAGCATTCTATCGCCGCTTGCTTGCTCGTCATGTGTCTGAATATATTGATTGGTAAAACACTCTGGTAAAGTGAACACTAGGCATCGTGCAACCGTACAGTAGAGATGAGTATAACAAGCATATAACTATCGTGGTTATATTGTTTCTACTACCCACGCACAGATTCTCTATGCGTCATACGATTTGCCTTGATTCAACAGCATGCCTACAGTGCCCGATCCAGCTTCCGCCACTGCGGCAGATCCTCCTCTCTGCGGAATTTGTCCCAATGAAGCTACAATCACTTGTGTGATATGCGACAATATGAAGTACTGCTCGACCATCTGTCAAGAACGCGACATCATGCAGCACGACATACTCTGCGGCAGTTTTGAAAATTTCAAAGAGCGCTCCAGTCCCAATCACTTCCGCGCCATCTACTCCCCCATCGACTCATTCTATCCACGCTTCATCTGGCTGCGCATGACGGGCACGCGCGGCTCGCACAATGTAGACGCAGCCGATATATCACAGTATCTAACTGGAGTCCGATCTGCCCGCATCCACACCTCATCGCATTACGGCATTACTCCAGAGCGCGACTACGAGACCACGATCGTAGTTCAGCACGATGAGAACTTGTTTGGCGGCGGCCAGCCACTTAACCTGTGTCTTTCCTTCCTGCTTGGCATTTGGCCACTTCGCTGGCGTGGGGCGTATGTGGCTCATGCATACAAGTACACTGCAATGCCGGACCCGTCTGATTATGATGATACTGATGCGAAGGAGATTGACGTTCCCATTCTGATTGCCTTGGATCTGGATACAACAAGCTTGGGTCCTTTAGTAGCGAAATTTTGGGACATGAGGATAAATGGGTACAGTTTGACCTGATGAGAGAGAGTTTTGCTGCCTAGGTGTTCATGATGTTGGAGGAAAAGCGGGATTTGGAGCATTCACTTGCGGTAATGCGATGGTGGAAATGGAGGGATCACTTTGCTGGCAGTAGTGAATTCGATGTTCATTTAGCATCTCTTGGGCTTCACCCGATTTGGACATTGCGATTCAGTGCGTGTTTCCTGTATGATAGTTACGCCGGACTTAGACCCCCCCCCGGATATAATATCTGGCCGAGTGGCAACCTTAGGTTGCTCTCGAAGCGCCCACCACTATCAGTCAAATTTTCACCAATGAAACGTCTTGGTTGATATTATTAATGGCGCGCTACTATGCGCGGCCGAGACGCCTGATCTTGGTACCGGATATCCACACTCAAATGCCGGACTTTCTTTTCTTTTCTCTTTGGCTAACAGTTTGTACTTGGCCTTTGTTAGCACACACCCGCTGAGCTGATGGTATCGAGCGCTCAAGATGCAAATGGGGCATCCACCTCTCGAGTGGCGTCTGGCTACGGCGCCACTCGCACAGGTTTCAGAGATGACTCAGGCGAACAAGAGGCACAATACAACTCGGAAACTGCCCGCTCAGCAGCAGACACTAGGAATACATCGCGGTCGATAGAGCATAGCGCAGACGGCGTCGGAGGTTTTTCTAGCAGCCGAAGAAATAGGTCACGCGACCTTTCTATCAACACCAACGTTACCGACACAGCCACTGAGGATGGCAGCGAGACTGGGAAAACCGAATCAGCGAACAGGCCCGTATCATGGAGTGCACTACCGCGCAAAGATCAGCTTCTAGTATTGGTGCTGGCACGACTTTCCGAGCCCTTGACGCAAACATCACTGGGTGCATACCTCTACTACCAACTGCAATCTTTTGATCCTTCTCTCTCGGAGTCAACGCTCTCGTACCAAGCAGGAATCATCGGCGCAACGTTTCCCGCAACTCAGTTTTTGACTGCAATGCTATGGGGCCGCTTTTCCGACTCCGAGTACGGCGGTCGCAAGCGCGTCATTTATCTTGGTCTGGTAGGCACCATGCTGAGCACCATCGGCTTTGGATTTTCGCATAATTTCGCCATGGCTGTCTTCTTCCGGAGTCTGGGAGGGATCGTGAATGGGAATATTGGCGTCATGAGGACCATGATTAGTGAGATTATCAAGGAGAAGAAGTTTCAGAGTAGGGCGTTTTTGCTCATGCCGATGACGTTTAATGTTGGAGTGTTGATCGGACCGGTGCTGGGTAGGTGAAGTGCGAATGGGGTTTTGTGGCACTGCTAACGTGAGTAGGTGGTATACTCGCAGATCCTGTTGCCAACTATCCGTCGTTGTTCGGACCAGACTCTACGTTTGGTGGAAAAAATGGTGTGCAATGGATGATGCGGTATCCGTATGCGCTACCTAATCTTGTCAGCGCCATGTTTTTATGTTTGTCGTCACTAGCAGTTTTGTTCTTCCTAGAGGAAACCGGTGAGCTCTGCAGAGACCGTCCTGATTTCGGCCTTCGAATGGGACGCTGGATACGCCGGACGATCTTCTGCCAGGACATCGCCTCTGAACGAGGCTATAGCATGATTCCTAGCCATGACCTGGAGTTACAGCAAACACCCACATCGCCTACTCTTCATCAAATCGATAAACCAAACAAGCAGGTTCGCCAACAACTTCCCTTCCGCCGCATCTGGACCCCCAACCTCATCATGACAATGCTTGCCCACGGCGCTCTCTCCATGCACGTAAGCACCTTCAACGGCCTCTGGACCCTCCACCTCTCCACCCCACGCTTCGACCCCGAGCATCCATACCCCCCATCGTTCAAACCCCACGGCCTCTTCTTCACCGGCGGCCTCGGCATGCCCCCTTCGCGTATCGGCCTTGCCCTCGCCATAATTGGCGTAATCGGCCTCCCCCTTCAACTCTTCGTCTACCCGAAAATCGCCCACAGACTCGGTACAACAAACTCCTTCCGCGTCTTCACCGCCTTCTTCCCTCTAATGTACTTTGTCACGCCCTTCTTGAGCCTCGTGCCCAGCTGGACGCCGCCGCCCCTCGGTGTCTCCGGACCATGGATTTGGATCGCCATTACGGCGGCATTGTCGATTCAAGTGCTAGCACGCACGTTTGCATTGCCGTGCACGGCCATTTTGATTAATAATGCGAGTCCCCATCCCTCGGTGCTGGGGACGGTGCATGGAATTGGGCAGTCGGTGTCGAGTCTTACGCGCACGTTTGGTCCCGTTTTCTTCAGTTGGTTGTTTGGAAAGGGGCTTGAAAGGGGGGTGATTGGGTTAGCGTGGTGGTGTATGGGGCTTGTGGCTGTGGGTGGATGGGTTCTTGCGCAGGGTGTTAGGGAAGGTGATGGCCATGAGATTTTGCTTGAGGGAGAGAGAAAGGAGGGGGATTAAACATAGAATCTCCCATCTTCTTTGCGTTCATAGATCTTTAGAATTTGTGGTTTCTCGTTTTCATTAGAAGGAGAACACATATCTTTTTTTTTCAAAACTGCGGAATTAGGTGTCTTCTTTCCTCCCCGGTTTACCCCGCATAAAACAAAGAGCGCTTATCTATCTGCAAAGATTATGATTAACTTTTCGTTTAACCGGGGGAAACGGACGAACTATTAATCGGCTTACCCTGTCTTATACTTCGCTTGCAGGGTGCGAATGGTGCCGAAGCGGGGGAGTAATGTGGATACGATGCATTAAAACGTATTGAGGTGAGTTCAATGTGTCTGGTGGTTGTGTGGGATGTCATTTTTTCAAGTTGACAGTGTTGGTAGTATATAGAGATGTGGATGTTTCCTCTTTGCAATTTCACCACGTCCGAGAGTTTTGTTTTGGCGGTATTACTGTATTCGTCCGAGTTCTAAATGGAAGTGAATTGGTTGAAATGTAGTGTAACTTAGTCAACCTTAGTACCATCCTAGCTTCCTGCTGAGCTCATACTGCCGGAAATGACAAGTCCGACCCGCATATATCGGGTCGGATCGTTGGAGTTACAGGCGCAGATCAATCATTGTTTTCTTCGATAAAGGTAAGTTTTCCCATAGATATATATGTAGACCGTCTCATTACATTTTCTTTTCTAAACAGAAACGCGTGGTGTTCAAGACGTCATCGCAGATGTCGTTCATTTGAGAAACAAACAGGCGAAACCTATAAATTCAACTCCGCTTTTGATATCAGTAAACCAAAAATATCACCTCGTACTACATATGCTAGATAAAGCATGAACAACAACGCCCCTGTCGACAAGACCACACTACATCGTCATGCCGAGGAAGCAAAAAACGTCCCCATGGCGATGAAACAAGCTCCATTCCACCAATCCTGACATAGTCGCACTGACTCATCTGTTTCGACATTTTAGTCACCACAGTAGTGGGTGGTCAGCACCAGACACAAGCGTAACCTCGGCGTGCAAACTACGCGCCCTCAGAAAAGAATACTACCCCGCAGTAACCCCGCAAGCAGTACCACGACCCACCAACCTCGTGATTGGGTGATCCACGCTTCCCCTACGCAATGTATCTCGATTGATACGCCGAAAACCCACTCGGCCCACTGCATGAACTGAATGCGGGTTGATGATGATGAGGCGGGGAAGATGTATGGGGATTCTCACGGCTAACAGATGTCCAAGATTATGGTGTCATGTCTATCGGATGAGGGGCATTACAAATAATACCCGAGATCAAAATGAAATGTGGGTTACACGGAAGTGGAAGTTGTACGTAGCCGGTGCTTGGTATTGTTTTAAATCTTGAATTTATATCCAGCTTCGGGCGTGCCGGATTGTTGACGTCCCCGACATAAGAGACAGACGAATTGTTTTCAGACATCTCAAGTTACCTACTATCCACGCTGGAATTGGCTTGATCATACTTACTCTTTGGAAATGGCACCAGATCTCAATGGTGTAGCCAACGGCGCTCGATGGGACTATTCGACCCCGGGATCAAGCGGATACAACATTCCGGACATCGTCTACAATGTAAGTATGCGATACACTTCCATGCACTGTGACTCTAATTTTGATGGCAAATAGGACCCCTCATCGCGTAGGGTGAAAGTCTTGACCGTTGGCGCTGGGCTGTCCGGCATACAATTGGCATACCAGATACAAAAGTACACGCAGAATGTAGAACACGTAATTTACGAAAAGAACCCAGGCATTGGGGGTACATGGCTCGAGAACAGATATCCAGGTACGCTTTACGAAGAACACGCTCGTATACATGAAAGTAATTTTTGTGGTAGGATGCGCATGCGACATCCCCTCACACGCGTACACCCTCAACTTTGCACTGAACCCGGACTGGCCCCGCTTCTTTTCCTACGCCCCAGATATTCTCAAGTATCTCGAGAAAGTCTGCGATGTATTTGGTCTACGCAAGTACATGACATTCAACACTGAAGTGGTGCGAGCAGAATGGCAGGACGAGGCTGGAAAGTGGAAAGTCACACTGCGGCAGAAGAGCCCTTCAGGCGAGGAGCGAGAATTCGAAGAAGAATGTGACCTCCTGCTGTACGCCTCGGGAATTCTGAATAACTACAAGTGGCCGGGTATCAAGGGTATCAATAGCTTCAAGGGACGCATAGTGCATACAGCCGCTTGGCCGCAGGACTACCAGGCCGAGCAGTGGAAGAACGATCGCGTGGCTATTATAGGCTCTGGTGCTTCGTCGATCCAGACTGTACCCACCATGCAACCGCACGTTAAGCACATGGACATTTTCGTCCGCACGGGTGTTTGGTTCGTCCAGATTGCGAATAACTTTGGTCAGAACAAGGAGTACTCGGAGGAAGAACGCGAGGAGTTTCGAAAGGACCCAGGCAAGATGGTGGCGCATGCCAAGGATATTGAAGATCAAGTGAATGGGCTTTGGGGCACCTTTTATACGGGCAACGAGTTGCAGAAGCAGACGCAGGATATGCTTCGGGAGAGAATGAAGGAGCATATCAAAGACGAGCGATTGTTGCAGGGATTTACGCCGAAATTCGAGGTGGGATGTAAGTTGCTCGCTGGATACCTGCAAAGTCGCATGAATGCTAATACCATCTTCAGGCCGTAGAATCACACCAGGCGACCCGTACATGAAAGCCATTCAAGAACCGAACGTCGACGTACACTTCACCGCCGTCAACGAAATAACCGAGAAAGGCGTCATCGGCGCCGACGGCATCGAGCGAGAAGTCGACACCATAGTCTGCGCAACAGGCTTCGACGTCACCTACCGCCCACGCTTCCCCATCATCGGCAAAAACGGCGTGGACCTCGCGGAAAAATGGAAAGACGAACCAAAAGGCTACCTCGGCCTCGCATGCCCAGACATCCCTAATTGGCTCATGTACGTCGGCCCTACGTGGCCCGTAGAAAACGGATCGGTGACGGGCCCGCTGCTCGGCGTCGCAGAGTACACCGTGAAAATCATCAAGAAGATGCAGCGCGACCATATCAAGTCGTGGGTGCCTCGCCAAGACATTACCGACCAGTTCAACGATCACGCACAGGAGTGGATCAAGCATACAGTCTGGAAAGGCGAGTGTCGCTCTTGGTACAAGAACAACGACACTGGCCGCGTCAATGCCGTGTGGCCCGGTTCATCGAATCATTATTCAGAATTGATTGAGACGCCGCGGTACGAGGACTTTGACATTGAGTACCTGCACAAGAATCCGTGGGCGCATCTGGGAATGGGGTATGCGGTATGCAATGCCAAGTTCCCCAATAGCGATGTTAGTCCGTATTTGCAACTGGAGAATATCGATCCGGAGTGGCTCAAGGCGATTGGGTATGAGGGGCCGGCGAAGGAAGTGGAAAAGGTGAGGCAGGAGAAGGAGGAGCCGGTTGTAGAGAGGAAGGGGACGGATGCGGGTGTTGGGGTGGGTAATGGGAATACGTCGACGTAGGGAGACGATGAGTGTAAGGTTTAGACTTGGGCTATTGTCAACAACACTAGATTGAAAGGGGGAGGGTCTGGGTTATTTCGCGATGAAAACTAGATTGTTTGCTAGTAACTATCAATGTTAATCTTTCATGTCATGTGACATTAATCTTATTACTCTATCCTGACCAAGCAAACGCTACAACAACTACGCTTGAGACCAAAACCCAAAACTACGCCGAACTCGTATTGCTTTTTCTTAACCCCGCAACCCCCCTTCAATCACCCTAGGCTGCAAGTTCAAGCGCCACTTCATCGGAGACAAAAAAACGCAGGTACCACGTATGCAATGACCCCTTCGTCCATATTACTTTTTCGATCTTCCGCCGCGCCATCGTATTCCAAGCCCTCCAAACCACTCTCCCGGGACCTCCCCTCGAACCCCCTAAGATTACGATGTGCAACCAAACAGCACCAATGCGTGTCATTCGCAGACCAGGATAAGCCAGGCAAACCAAACACCTCAATATTAACGCGGGGAAGCCAGCATCTTTGAACCCGCAACCAAGCATATCCCAGCCGACGTCCCTCATCACTATGTTTAAAAAAAAACGCCACAAAGCGCACCCCCACCATGCGATCCAATCGAACCCGTCCCCCTTCCCCCCCGCGCTATCTCCACCCAATCAGCACTCAAGCGCATCCCTACGCTTTGCCCGCCGATATAACCCCGACTACAAAACTCCGACACTTTTTCGGCTTGGCCCAACACTCCCCCAACTCCAACCAGTAACTACTGAATTTAAGCACATTACCATGGAAGAAAAGAAGCGCCAGACCCAACCTACCGGGACCATCCACCCGCGCATCATCATCCACGGCGGCGCAGGAAACATCACTCGCGCATCCCTACCACGCGAGACTTACGAGCAGTATCGTAGCTCCCTGTTGCGCATTCTAGATGCCGCCGCGGATAAGCTGGCGGAACCGGGTGCTACGGCGCTCGACGTCGCGACGTACGCGGTTACGCTCTTGGAAGAAGACCCGTTGTTTAATTCCGCACATGGAGCGGTGTTTACGCGCCGAGGCAACAATGAACTCGAGGCTAGCGTTATGGTGTCGGATGGGTATAGGAAGCGCGGCGTGGCATGTACGTTGTTGCGGCGGGTGCGGAATCCGATTCTGCTAGCTAAGGAGTTGCTTGTGCGCGGGGAGCAGGCGGATGGGGGTGGTGGTGCCGGGGATCATTGTTTTTACAGTGGGGAGGTTGCGGAGGGGTTGGCGAGGAGTTGGGGGTTGGAGATTGTGGAGCCGAGTTGGTTTTTTACGCAGAGGAGGTGGGATGAGCATTTGAGGGGGTTGGAGGAGGAGGGGAAGATGAGTGGTGATGCAGGGATGGGGGTACGTGAGACGAGCGAATGGGAGAAGAATCATTATTTACCGCTAGGGACGTGTGGTGCTGTTGTTGTGGATTGCTATGGGACTATATGTACTGCTACGTCTACAGGGGGTTTGACGAACAAGGTTGATGGACGCGTTGGCGATACACCAACTATAGGAGCTGGATTCTGGGCCGAAGAGTGGTACGAGGATGCTCCAGCTGCAAAGATGCAGTATCAGCCCGTCCCGCAGGCTGTGGCACCAATAGACAAGCTCTCCAGAGGCGACCTGTACGGTGCGCTTGGCGGCTGTCTCCCAACACTGGGCTCGTCCTCCTCAAGACAAACCGCAGCAACGCCAAGTCCGGACAATAAAGAACCTATCCCTGTTCGCCATGCCGTGGGTCTTTCGGGGACCGGCAATGGCGACTCTTTCCTCCGCACATCTGCCGCCCGAACGACAGCGGCCAAATCTCGCTTTTCTTCGCAATCTCTCAGCGACGCAACCACATGGATGGTCGGCCGCGGTGGTGAACTCCAAAAAAGTGCCGGCAACCGATGGGACGGGGTCCACGAAGGTGTCGGCGGAATCATAGGTATCGAGCTTGTTGGGAATAAAGTACAAGTCGTCCAGGACTACAATTGCGGCGGCATGTTCCGCGCCTGGACCGAGGAGAACAGAAGTCGCAAGGTTTCAATCTTTCGAGAAGATGGGTGGGGGAGCGGACCGCAAAGTTGGTGGGATATCTGAAACGTGCGTTCATCGTGGTCGGACCGTTAACAATCATGATAAAGTATATATTCTATTTCCGGCACTGCCGAATGACAAGGATTATACTGGATCGTTTACACTCTTTTGTTGGCGATCTGTCAGATTGATCGTGTCGGATTGATTTGAGCGAGAGTCTTTTCCGGAGTTTGTGACGGTGTATCCTGTTGACTGCCACTTGAAGCCATAGCCAAGCCATTTTGCGAAATGAGGAAAGGTAGGGAAGGCACCGCAGAGGAGGAGTGCGGAAATCTCAATGATGGCGCAGACTGCGAGAATGGCAAGCCAGTATGTGTTGTCTTTGCTGTCGAGGTGCAGGATGGTGTAGTGGAGTCGGACGGCACTGCTAACGCATGCGCTAGTGCAATGGTTAATTTTACATCGTCACCCATGGTGGAAAGGACTTACAGAAGCGCAGCTCCAAAGATGGCAGAAACGGCAAACTTCTTCTTGATGCTCATCTGTAGGCGTGAGACGACGTAGATTGGAAGGAATAAAAGAGCAACGTCGGTCACTAGGTTGATGATGCCGCTCAGGAGACTCGGTCCAGCATGAGTAGGGAGGCACGTTCCTGGGATGAATGGATCCCACTTCTTCTTTATGGGATTGCAGGGGAAGATCCAGGTGAACAAGCTTGCGGTATAGACGCAGCTGAAGGAGACAATGCAAGTCCAACATGACCAGAACATGAAGTCTCGCGACTTGCTGTTGAAGGTGGACTTGATCTGAAGAAGCACACCGAGCTTTGTGGTATACATGGCGATGCAGTAGACGATTTGGACCCAGTAGGCGCGGCGTAGAGCACGCATACCCTCGCCAACTGTGACATTCCATTGATGCTTGCCAAAGCCCATACTAATGCTGTCTAAAGTGACGGAAACGAAAGCAAAGTACGTGACTGTTGCGGCAATCATGACTGCGTCATCGAAGGTGAAGAGTCTGGTGAGGTAGGCTCTGGTGAAGATACGGATCATCATGGCGATTCCGGTAAGGGCGAAGCAAGTGATGATGATTGGCAGTCCCCAGGGCCAGATGGTTGAGGCATTGGGGTTGAGTGGCATTTCGCCTGTTGGCGGCATGAGGGCTGGACAGCCGGGATCGGGTCGCTCAGCGCCCAGGCACTTGACAAGCATTTCCAACAGTTCCATGGTGACGATGGTAGCTGTTCCGCCAGAGAGAGGTAAAGAATGTTGGCTGAGAAAGATGATGTCCGGGTCGAAACCAGGCCATGGTGACAGTGACCAGCCATATACATAGTCTAGGTGGAGAGCGAAAACACTAGCAGTAGCCAAAAGTCAATTTCCAAGTAACAGTCTTCTACGCTGGTGCGGCGCCATGTTAGTGCGGCAATGGACATGGTTAGTGAACAGGATGGCATGGCGAGTTGATGATACTAGTGAAGTGTGGCGTGCGGGTCGGGCTGCAAGGGACCACTAGGAACATTTACGCGCAATAGGGGCGGGAAGCCCTTGTTGAGGGGCGCTTCATAGTCGCACTCGGAGCGTTTTCCCAACGACCGGCTGTCATTTGTGTCTACTGACTGAATGCCGAATCTGACGGACAGTGGTGGTAATTCTTAGTGGTTGTTCAAAATCAATGGATCACAGTTGGTTTTCTTGAAGTCCAGGAGAGATGTAGATAAGAACAGGCTGGAAGGTCTACACAGCACAACTACATGATAGTACTATTTCGGGCACTGGTCGGCGGGCTGCTTGGTGGTAGGGGTGAGGACATAGTCGCGCGATGCTACCGGAAGGCGATCCTCCGTCGTCGATCGACGGGTAGCGTAGTAGAGATGAAGGTCAGGGTGCCACGAGGTAACAACTGGATGCATGACTAAGGCGAGGCGCGTCGCGCATCTTGCTGTATACAAACGTGTGACTTTTGGTTGTGCGCAGTGTTCAGGTGGTTGGGTGGATTGGACGAAGGCCAAGCAAAGGCAGAGGACGCGTCGGATGTCGGATCGGACGAGGGCGACTCAGCCACACTATGACATGGTCCCCCGCGCTGACCCGCCATGTTCCTGCCGCCCGCTCCAGCACCGCATGCACTGCACGCTCTCTTTCACTCTTCCACACATACCCTACATCCACCCCTAGCAGCGCCTCTTTTCCTGCCTGCCGCTCCGCAGAGAGCACACTACCGCCGCCATGGGCTTTAGTCTCAACAACCCGCTGCCGTCGTCCATGGCCAGTAAGTCATGGGCTCTGTTGCTGTTTCGGCTAGTGACGTCGCTGATACAATCTTCTCTCCAGGCGAATGTCGCAAGACGGGAAAGATCCTGGCCTCCTTTGTCGACCCGCGACAGGCTTTCGGGCCCGACAAGATCATCCCGCCAAACGTACTTGCAAACGCAAAGGTAGAGTACTCTACTAGTTTCCCCTTCGCTATGCGATGCGCTTGGGCGCTTGGGCTGCACAACACCTTGTACTGACTGAACATGCTCTGTAGGGCCTCGCCATCCTCACCGTTTTCAAGGCTGGCTTTCTCGGCACTGCGCGATTTGGTTCCGGCGTCGTCGTCGCACGTCTCGCCGACGGATCATGGTCGGCGCCTACAGCTATCGGCACTATTGGAGGCGGCTTTGGCGGACAGATCGGCTTTGAGCTCACTGACTTCGTCTTCATCCTCAACGATGCCTCTGCCGTGCGAACATTTGCTCAGGCTGGTTCGCTAACACTGGGAGGCAATGTCTCCATTGCCGCAGGTCCGGTCGGTCGCAATGCCGAAGCAGCCGGCGCAGCCAGCTTGAAGAGCGTGGCGGGCATTTTCAGCTACAGCAAGACAAAAGGCTTGTTTGCGGGAGTTAGTCTTGAGGGCAGTGGTATAATCGAGCGCAGAGATGCCAATGAGAAGCTTTACGGACGCCGGTGGACTGCCAGGGAAATCCTGAGCGGCCAAGTCCCTCCGCCACCAGCTGCTGAGCCGCTCTTGCGCGTCCTCAACTCCAGAGTGTTTTCTGGTGTAGGAGGAGCGCAGAGCGTCACAAATGATGCCATGTACAACGATATTCCTGTCTATGATGATGCACACGACAATGTGGTTTGGCAGGGCCGCCACGGCTCTGCCATGGGTGAAGGTGTACGACGAGATCGCACTGGCTCAATGGGCTCACACCATAACGACTACCAGTACAGGGACCACCAGCAATCCTCTTCTTGGGCAGACGATGTCTACGACCGACAGCCATCATCCGCACCTGGCGGTCTCAACCGCTCATATTCCACCCGCGCTAACCCTACCGAGACCTTTGATCGTATCGACTCACGGAACCGCGCCTCGACATTTGGCGATGACTACTATTCGTACAGTGATCGCAAGCCTGGACGACCCTCGGCCCCGAAGCCAGTCTTTGGCCAGACCACTGGACAGAAGAAGGCGAGCTTGCAGTCCGACCAGGCCATAGCAAAATTCACCTTTGACGCTGATCAACCGGGCGATCTCGGCTTCAAAAAGGGCGATATCATCACTATTATCAAGCGCACCGACAACGAAACCGATTGGTGGACCGGTCGCATAGGAAGTAGGGAAGGCATCTTCCCAAGGTACGTCTTGACTTTGCTCGCTACTACCTCGTATTTTTGCTGACTCTTTAAAGCAACTATGTTGAGACCGTGTAGAAGATGACGTGGATAAGTCGAACATCTAGTCCATCTGTTCATCGACGAAGATGATGTCTGAAAGTTTTGCAAATTGTCATGGCTTTCTAAAGCAGCTACTGCAATGTTTGTCGCCTGCGCACGAAGACATTCGTGCCGTCTGTACATACGCTTATACCTCTCCCGTCTCCTGTACTACTCTTTCCTTACCATTTTTGTCCGCAGATACCTTTGTAGCGTACTCTAGCATCGAGCTTATTTACTCCTGATAGATGAACCCAAAGAAACCATCAAAGTTAACTTTCATCATGTGCCGTGGTTTGCTGGTCAGTTGCTGCCCGTTAGCCTTGGGCATCTGTGAACTCTGTTGCCTAGCTGCAGCTCTAGTCCATGGTAACCACAATAGCCGCCCATCGGCTTCTATTGGAACACTCAACGAAGAACACCACATGATTGGTCCGTAGAGAAACTCCACTATCATTGGTTCCGAATAAATATGCCGACATGTCATGAATCGCTCCGCGTGTGTGTCAAACCTAAATAGCAACTAAACAAGCCTCAAGCGACGAAACCCAAGCATCGCCTTTGTTCTTCCGTCCTTACCCCGACGCTTAGTCTTGTTTACTCCAACTCTATACGCTGCTGCTGCCTCCTAGCCGAAAGCCACACCGGCATGCGGCATGTCGATAGGCGACAATTTTAGTGGAGAGGTTAGACCCCTAGTTAGTTTGAGGAGAGAAGGAGTTAAAGAGAGAAAAAAGAGGGATCTGGTTTCCCCTTTGGGTCCACATGGTATTGTGTTGCCTGACTACACCATCATGAGGAAAAACACCATCTTTTTCCATTGTGGATATTTTTTTTTCTTGTCGTTAGGTGGTATGCCTTTTTGGGCAAAACTTTTCTACATACCATACCTACGCACCCCTCCCGGCTCCCCCCAACATACACCCCCCCCCCCCATATTTTTTTCGCGTGTCAAACGACCCGCTCATCCCATCTGCACCCCTACCCGCCAGGTACACCCCGCCAACATCTCTTCTTTTTTTTATGCACTCGCTTCTGTTTGTGTAAAAAAAAAAAGCACAAAATATGAAGCACGTGTTTCCTCCCCCCCCCTTAGCCGGATTTCCCTCTAAGTCCGCTTTTTTCTCTTTTTCTACATAGCCAAGCCGGGCATTTGATCAACCAAGTAAATAGAATATACAAAGCCATGGTGGGGAGCTAGACGTATGTGGCTGCCAATTGGAGATTTTAGCATCCCGTACGGCTGTGCAGATCATTTGCAAGCGCGGCTTCGACGCCCCACCTTGCTACACACCTCGTTTTACTTACCTTGGGTTGGATTCACTCCACTTGTTTGGTATTTGTTGTATTTATGGGATGAGACATGCTGAGTGGTTGTTGGCTTATACAAAAGGGGCAGGTGGGGTGGTTTTTTTTT